GATTAGGTGGCTTGACTTCAGGCTCATGGTGGTGTGTGCTCTTTTGAGAGGTCTGGCTTGGGTTAGTTGGAGCATTTTGCAAGCAAAGTGGTTTGGCTCAACACATTTGCAGTGAGATCCTTTGACACCTCATGTCCCACCAGCCCTGTGCTGTGAATCCCAGCTGGGCATGGGGGTGACCCCAGTGAAGGTGGGGGAAGGGGTTACCTAAGCAGTTAATAAGTGTTTATATGCACCTGCAGCAGATGATCTCTTGAATCCTAACTTACTTAACTAAGAAGTAAAGAAGTTGCTGGCATGGATTTTATTGTATCATTGATAATGTTATATTTTTCAGGTTGATGTTAAGCAAGGGATGCTGAGAGGGGCAGGGGCAGCAGTGGAGGTGTACTAGCTGGGTTTGAAGCCATTTCATGAATGAACACCCTTTTTTTGTGTGTGTAAAAAGGTTCTCCTGGTCTTAACTGGTGGATAAAGCACCAGAGTAGAAATTATCCTACATCATGTTTTCCTCATCCCTGGGTCCTTCCCTTAGCTGATGTTGGCTGCTCTGCCAATGGTTTAGAAGGACATATTGACTTTAAAGCATCAAAGAAGAGTCCAGAAAAATGCTTCCAGCTTGTACAGGTCCTGTGTGATGCACTGAGTGATGCCCCTCGGCACTTTGCCGAGCCCAGCGCGGAGGCTGTGCTCTCTGCCCTCCACCCACCAGACAGTGAGGTCTCTTGCAACCATTTTCCTTGTCAAAAAAACCCCACAAATTCAGCTGAGTTTATACTGCTATTTTTTCCAGGTTTGAAAGCCATCAGAGCTTTGAGGTGATTCGATCCTATTCCGGTGAGTATGAGCACTGCATGGGGCTCCTGCCTTGTGGGTTGGGTCCTGCATGCACAGAGTGGGGGGGAAGTCAAAATCAAAGGCAGTGAAATGATGACACTGATTGGCAAAGCAGTTTAGATGCTTCTAGGATTGTGAATTCTGAGCTCGAGGGAAAAAGCTCTCCCTTTGCACTGAAAATAAAACACTACAGAAATGTCATTGAAAAGCAAAGCCTCAACAATTGGGGCTCTTCCAACCACACTGTGCACGCTGTGAAAATGAAGGTGTGGGTGAGCCTGAAGTGATAGGAGTGACTCATTCATCATCCCCCCTCACTGCTTCCTGCAGCAGGTTGGGTTCAGCACTGACCTTTGGGGCTTTATATCACAACAAGCTGCTGACAGGGTCCCTGTGAAATGTCACTGTCTGCAGGCAGCTCTGCGGGGCCACTCCTGCCCTGGGACACTGAGCCACATAACCCCATTAGGTGTCTTTGCTTCAGCCCAGTCTGACCAAAGCTCATGACTGCACCTCACAGTGTGAAGGGAGGGGGAACAGCCCCTGAGTCGAGCAGGTTTGGGGGAGAACAGGCCACAAGGCAGCAGCTTCCTCTGGTATGTGTTTGCTTGCTCTGTGGTCTGCACAGACACCAGTTTTCCTCTAGCTGTTTGCTGTTTTGGCCATTTATGGATGTTCAAGGGTCAATTTGGAAGCTATTTTGGGCTGCATTAGGAAAATGCTTGGCAGACCTGGGGAATCCTGTGTAGTAGATGCTCTGTGCTCTTTGAAATATCTGCCATAAGCATTAACACTTGTTTTGTTCTTGGTGCCAGCTGCAACCCCAAGGCTGGAAAAAATTAAGGAACCTGAAAACTTATCAATAGCAAGGTAGGTAAAATACCCACATGAAATGTAGCTGTAGAGCCAAGGTTGGATAAAATTCCTCCAACATACATGAATGTTTGGGATTTGGGTTCTGGGCTCTATAGATGTGGCTTGGGCTGTGCTTGGAGTCAAAGAATGCTTTGGGTTGGAAGGGACATTTAATAGTCATCTAGTCCAACCCCCTTGCAAAGAGCAGGGACATCTTCAGCTCAATCAGGCTGCTTCATTTATTGATGGTCAATAGTGGGATTAGACTTTCTCTGGCTGTGTTCTTCTGGCAACCATTTAAACCAAACCCGAGGAAACGAGCTATGGCTGCACAAAACAGGTACACTATGGAAAAGAAATGGCCAGTATTTGCTTATATGCAGTTTGACATGATAAATTCCCTTCTCTCCATCAGCAAAACACATAAAAAATGCATAGTCACAATAATTCTGCTGCAGTATTCAGGTAAAATTATACCCATGTTGGGATCTGCCCCCAAACTGCTGATGTCCCACTGCTCCAATTTTCTCTCTTGCAGGAAAACCACTGAGGAGCTCAGCACTTCCTGCTCTGCTGGATATGGTGAGCATCTCCCTGGGATGGGCACCATCAATGCTTTCCTCATCCATGCACCCACAGGGGAAACACCTACGGCAGAATTCAGAAATGGGGATGTTGCCAATCTTGCCTAGTTTGTGTAGGTGCTGGCTGGGAGCTCCCACTGGTTTTGGGAAGCCTCTGACAGGCTAGTTACTCACTTCCAGGGCACAGGGGGTGGTTATCCTGGAAACAAGCTGGGAAATGATAAAATTCACTCCTGTTATTGGCACCTGCCCACAATGCTGCACAATGATGCATAATAAGATCAGAGAATCCCAGAATGGTTTGAGTTGGAAGGAACCTTAAGCTCATCCAGTCCCACCCTCTTCCATGGGCAGGGACACCTTCCACTAGACCAGGTTGCTCCAAGCCCCATCCAACCTGGCCTGGAACACTTCCAGGGATGAGACAGCCACAGCTTCTCTGGGAAACCTGTGCAAGTGCCTCAGCACCCTCACAGAGGAGAATTCCTTCCCAATATCCATCTTTCCCTGCCCTCTGGCAGTGGGAAACCAATCCCTGTGTCCTGTCCCTCCATGCCTTGTCCCAAGTCTCTCTGCAGCTCTCTTGGAGCCCCTTTGGGCACTGGAAAGGGCTCTAAAATCTCCCTGGAGCTTCTCTTCTCCCAGCTGAACAACCCCAGCTCTCAGGCTGTCTCCATAGCCCTTGGAAAATCTCTGTGGCCTCCTCTGGACTCACTCCAACAGGTCCATGTTCTGCCTATGCTGGGAGTCCCAGAGCTGCATGATCTCACCTGGGTCTGAGTTAAATTCAGTGCTTGCCCTGCTGCAGCTGACCAGTCCTGCCTAGAGCCAGATGGCCAGATTATTTAAAACCCCTAGCTGTCCCAGCACCTCTGCCCTGTGGTGTCCAGCCTTGTAGATGTGTTCCCTAACCCCAAGCAAAGAGCTGAGTGGGGGCAAAGCTGCTGGTGCCAAAACACTTGGTGTGTCCCTCACAAACTGCTCCCATCATTCAGCCTGAGCCTGAGCATAACATGTCCCTCTCTCATCCCCAGGGATGGAGGCTGAGCCCAGGTACCAGAATTTCCTGACAGGTAAATGCTCCAGCCACATATCCAGGGGTTAGGAGGGAAGGCTGGTGAGGGGATGGGAGGTTCCTGGGGATGGGAGCCAGCAGGGAATGCACAGGCAGGCAGCACTGCAGCTGGCAGAGCTCTGTCTCGGTCAATTTAGAGATTGCTTTGTAGGACAAGCACTGATCTGATTAACGGGCAGAGCAGAGGGGGATGGATGCTCAGAGCCCCCTGCTCCCTCCCAGGGCAACATGAGCTGCAGCTTGCCCTAAGAGGATTATTGCTGTGTGGGGCTGTGCTCTCCTTTCCCAAGTCAGGGAGGATATTCCCCATCTCCCTGCCAGCTGGCAGGATGTGTCCATGAGAAGTGGGGGTTTTCTCAGGGCCTGGGATGGATCAGGGCTGCCTGCCCTTGCTCCAGCCACCCAGCTCTGCTGTGGATGGGCTCTGGGGCTGCTGGGGACATCTGCTGTGGCTGTGCTTGGGGGGTTTGTCTGGCTGTGTTTGGGTTTATGGCATGGTGTGGGTGCTGACACCAAGCCCTTGTTCTTGCAGAGGAATGCCTGCAAGGGGACTCTGCCTACGTGTAAGTACCTGGTGCTGCCCACTGGTGTGACTGAGCGGAGCCATACTGGTCCCAGTGCCATTCTGGCGTTCCCATAGCTCAGCCTGGGAAGCCTGTGGGTGCCTCAGGCAGAAGGAGCTAACAGCACTGCTCTTCTCACAGGGAGCCCATATCTCTGGATTACTACAACTGTGCTGGGTTCTTCAGTCCACCCAAAGGTAAGTCTCCAGGCAAGTGAGGTGGGTTTCTTCTCCAGCCTGGCTGTCCCATGGCTCCAGGCTGCTCATGAGACTGTTCTTGCCTAGGTCTGTGCATCCCTGTGCGTGCCTGGAGACACGTTTCTTAAAGGGTGTAGCAGAGCTGTGGGGCTTGAAGGATGCCCAAGCCTCCATCAGTCCATCTGTTGCCTATAAACAGGACAGCCCAAATGCATTGGTGATGGTGCTCCCATGGGGCAGTCACTGCCTGGTTTGTCTGTACTAGGGATACCCTGTCCCTGGGGCAGCATGGGCTGTCACAAAGACTAATGATTTTTAAGCTAATGTACATTTAATTGTGGGAAACAGCCCCTTCCTGCAGGTATTGAGGGATCCTGACTTATACTTCCTTGTCTCCCCTCCTTCTTCTCCCCACCAGAGAAAGAGGAGGATTCCTATTCCTATGAAAACGTCATCATTGGAGTGTCTCATGGCTCTGGTCCAGGTAGGTGTGTTACTGTTGTGGTTCGTGGGTGTCACAAAATGGATCTGGAAGTGCAGAGAGGGATGGTGACCTGCTCAGCTGAGGGAAACCTCCTCACTCACAGACTCAGCTCTTCCTCTCAGCTCTGTGCCATGGAGCTGAGGTGCAAGGAATGCTGCAGGCACAGAGTAGGCCTGGAGCATTTCCCCTTCCTGCAGGAAAATGCATGTGGTGATTCCTCCAGGCTGATCCCTTTGACTTGGGGTGTTTCTGCAGCAATTCAGGAGCTTTGGGATCTGCATCTCTAGGTTTTTAGTGTTGCTACAGCCAAGCTGGTTATGGTTCTAGCCCCCAGCTCCAGTTTCTCACCACATCCAACCCAAGAAGGCTGCAGCCAGGAAGCTGCTGGAGGATGACACTGGACCACAGTGTGTGCTTCAGAGCTTCCACCATCAGCCTGGGGATGTTGCAATCCAAATAGGAAGTCGGTTTGGTTTTCTTCAGCGAATTAATACACACATTCTACACTGCTAAAGCCTGTCCTGCTCCTGCCTGGCTTTGTGCAGAGTGATTAGAGGAGGCAGGAGCAGCAGGGACCTGTCTGATCCCCATCCGTGCCTGCAGAGCTCCAGGCACGTGGCCAGGGCTGGAGAAGTGATGAGGCAGCACCAGCAGATCTGCGGCAGGACGGCAGCGCCGGCTGGAAACAGCCACGCGCACGGGCTCAGCGCCACGAGGGGGTCACAAAGGCCCTTGTTTAGTCCTTTTGCTGTTCAGCATCATCATGTCCAAACTCTCCTTGGTCACAGATGAGAGTGTGGACTATGAGAACAGCGCAGCACTGCACACATGGAAGAAGCTCCAGCAAGCAGAAGGTATGTTTTCACATTTAGGGATGGGGATCATGGGCAGGTGCCTGGGGCACTAGGCCAGTGCAGACCACACTCAGGGCAATGCAGGCCCTGTCTTGAGGGATTTTTTTGCCCAATCATCCATGATAAACATCCAAGGCAATGTGCAAATTGTTATACACTCTTTGAAAGGTGCTGTGATGGGACTTTCTTTGTTAGAAACTGCAGTGATAGGACAAGGGGTAACAGATTCAAATTGAAGGAGGGGAAATTTAGGCTAGATGTTAGGACAAAGTTTTTTCCTGTGAGGGTGGTGAGACACTGGCACAGGTTGCCCAGGGAGGCTGTGGCTGCCCCAACTCTGGCAGTGCTCAAAGCCAGGTTGGATCAAGCCTTGAGCAACCTGCTCTGGTGGGAGGTGTCCCTGCCCAGGGCAGGGGGTTGGGGCTGGATGATCTCTAAGCTTCATTCCAACTCCTAAAATTCTATGGTTCTATGATTCTATGTAGGTGGCTGCACCTAAACCCTGACCATGGGATGCCACAGAATCATGTTGCCCTTCATGTCTTTTACCCTCTTACTTTTTGAAGTTGCCCTGGTGCAAGCACAGCTGTGAAATCCTCTCTGGCAAAGAACTGGGCAGGGCATACACCCAGTGGGTCAGTTGTACTCATGGGTGCCAGTTTCTCAAGTTGACCTTTTAACCACAGTTTAAGCTAATGTGTGGCTTCCTGTGAGACACTGGGGGTAGGCTGTCCTGGGAGGCAGTGCATGTTAGAGCTCTGTGTCTCTGGTGTGAGAACTGCCTAAGCAAACTGATTCTTGTTATCCTGTTTGCACACTCGAGATTAAATCGAAGTCCATGTCTTTAGGCTCTGAAGAGCTGTCCAGGCTCGCTGCTTCCAGATTGTTTATAAATTTGCTGTTGTGAAGTCCCTTCAAGGAGACCTTGACACTGATCTGAGGTTTCTTAGCCCAGGCACAAAAACATGTCAGCACCAAAGGCTAAATACTGGCAGGACAGACAGCATGTCTGTGGTGTGTTTGTGTGTTTTTACATCAGCCAACTCACTGATCGGTGCTTCCCATCCTCACCCACAGCTCTGCAGGCAGAGAGCCCAGATGATGAGCCAGACTACATCAACACGGCTCCTCCATCAGGCCCTGCCCCTCTGCCAAAGGGAAGGTAAAAAGAGAGCAAATGGTCGATGTATTTATGTAGAGGTGGAAGGGTTGGGTTTATGGTGTTTGTGTAGGGGTGGGAGGACTGGGTTTGTGCCATAGTGAGCTGGGCTGGAGCTTTGCCCTTGCAGCCTCCCATGCAGGCAGTGGAGGAGCAGGGGCAGCCCAACCCACCCCAAGCCACATCTCTGGCTGGTGCCAAGCTGACTAACAGTGACCGTGGTGACAAATTTATCAGCCTCTGTCCCAGCCCCTTCCAATGCTGCCCTCCTCCAACAGGCACAGGAACTCTGAACCACTTTGGAGCAGCTTGAGGCAGCACTGCCATGTGCTGCAGACAGGAACCCCCAAAACCCCTGTGGTCTGTGCAGCTCAGAGGCTGAGCAGCACTAGGGATTCCCTGGACTCAGCCAAGCCCTACCTTCTCTGTTAAGACCACATATCCTGCCCTGTGTAGCAGCACCAACCTGATGCTGCTGACGACAGATATTACACGAGACAGACAAAGTAAAAACCTGCAGAGAGCACAACACTGAGTGACTGTGACTGACATGCTGGTTAGTGTGTGTAGTGCTGGTGTAGATTGGACTAGGAATCCAGTTGGGAGGACTGGGACCAGTATCACTCTCCTTGTCAGGTTTGTTCTTATGCCACTTGCTGGCAGCTCCATTTACAGGGTTTTATATTCCCCAAACTCTGGGTACCAGCTGTGGGAAAAGCCCCAAAATTTGATCTATCTGAAGCCATGCAGAGTATTTAAGATTTGTCCCTACCATGCAAAGCACAGTCACCCTATTCTCCATGGTGTTTGCTTCTGCCAGGTGCAGCTGGACACAGGAGCCTGAGAAACCTGCCCCAGCCTCCCTGCTAGGCATCTTCTGGCCATTAAAATGATGCCTCTGCTGTAGCCTTTGCTTGCAGAGTAAAGCTATGAAATCCCCATGTCCAACCAACAAATGCCAGCAGAATTTCTCCCCCAGGGGAGGCTGAATTGAAAAATGGGTCCTGGCACCTCTGTCCCTCCTGCTCTGCTCAGGGATCATCCCCTGGGAGCATGGTTAAGGCTTCTGCTTGGACATTTTTGTCCACTATTTGTCTCTGGAAAGAAAATGTAGTAAGCAGCAGAGTTAAGTGGAAATCAGGGATTAAAAGTCAGTGGACTCACTGTTTTTTCCCCTCTTATTTCAAGCAATCTGCATAAAGTCTGAAGAAATCCTTTGCTGAGCTGTGAGAGGACACCCAGCAAGGCTGCACACAGGGAGAGGGGAGATTTCCACCCCTCAGTGAAATCTCTTCTCCACATTGTGCCCACAATCACAGAGAAGGGGTGTTACTGAAAGGAAGAAATGCTCTGCTTGAAGCCCCACAGAAGTCCAACTGCAAACCTGCAACTGGAGAAAGCTCTCTGCCCTCAGAGACCACAGGCAGGCCCTGAGCTTGGCATCCATCTCATTCCCCTGCACATCCACTCGAGCGAGGGTGGCCAGTCTGTGCAATGTTTCCTCCTGTCAAGCACGAAATGAATCCTTAAATTGCTGAGCAGTAATGCAGCCAGCTACTTAATTTGTCAGGGTGACTCATGCATGATGCTATTAAGCCATAGGGATTACATTCTGGTTTAGTTCCTGTGCTCTCCTACAGAAGGAGTTTCCTACAGGAGAGGAATTGGCGAGGTGGAGGTTGTGTGTACAACACCAGTGGTGCTCTGGAGCTGAATGACATACCAACCTGTTCACAAAAGCTAAAGAGGATTAAATCCCTGCTTTGTCCACAGCTTGTAATTCACAGTGTTGGTCCGTGGCAGTTTTCCTCATGTTCCAGTATCTCTTTTATAATAATATAAAGAACTGGCAACAACTGAGAGGGTCAGATCCACAGCCACCAGCCCCAGAAACTGCACCAGTCCCTCAGCATGGCTGCAGGAATGTCAGCCCCAAAACAGAACCCTGAGCCCTGATGCACAGATCTGGCACTTTTGGACCACTTATTTATTAAAATGTAAAAGCTTCCAAGGAAAATGCAGTGGTTGTGGTTTGTTATGATGTGCATGATGCAGATGTTGTCTGCACAGTCGGGTGAGACAGAGCTGGAAGCATGTGATGACACAGGGTGATGTGTAGGATCTCATGGGTAGAAAATGGAGATCCTCAAACCCTTCTTCCTCAAAATCAGTTCAGGAAACTGTGCTTCAGGAAAGAACACAGCCCATGCTCATTTCTTCTGGACAGTCAGAGTGAGCAGAGAAGCAGAGCTGAGGGTGACATGAGGCCTGGAGCAGGAGGGGGGATGTCAGGTGCTTCCTGCTGCAAGTGACTTGGCTCTATTTTTGTCAGAATCACTGAGGCCACAGGTGCTCAACGTTCACGCAGCTGAAACAGCAGCTGGCTTGGAGTTTGGCTCAAGAGAAGGTTTACTGGTAGATCCTACAAATGCTAAAACCTTCCACAGGAGTTTTACAACAGAGAAAATCTAGTGCCTCTAATGCTGAATACAGCTGAGGACTGATCCCACAGCAGAGGTGAGAGGACAGAAAGCTCTTCCTGCCTTTACCTTCCCCTGGACAGCTTATCATCTGCACCTGAAATGCTGGGGCTGCCTGCTTTGTTTCCAAGGTAGAAACCTACTTCAAATTCTTTTGTGAGCATGACTTGTGCAGCAGCAATCCTCAAGCAGTCAGTTTTGAAGGTGGTACCTGAACTTTGGGTTTGGGTCCTGAAAGTGTTTGAAAGCAGCCCCAGGGTGGGCAGCGAGGGTGAGGAGGAGGTGGGACAGCCCCAGGGTGGGCAGGGAGGATGAGGAGGAGGTGGGCACTGCTGCTGTAGCTCTTTGGGGTTATCTGGATGAAGCTGCTGCAGGAGCTGTTGGAGAGGAGCATCCAAGAGGCTAATTCTGGGGAATCTCTCAAGGAGATATGGTGAGAGCATGTCCCAGGGACTAGGGAAGTACCTGGATGCACCTGGAGATGGAGCATTGCTCAAGGAAGATGCCAAGGGCTGAGTCCTGTGCCGAAGGGCAGTGCAGGAGACAGGAGCAGCACACCTGAGCAGGTGGGACAGTGCATGGGGATGCAGGGAAGGTCTTTCTTCTTTCTGCTTTTGATTTCCTCTTCTCAGTCCCTGCCCAGTGCACCCCAGTACCCCCAGTCTCAATTGCAGTACCCCCAGTTGAACAGGACCTTCCATTTGAAGGGACCTTCAAAGGGGAAAAAGTTGTCCAAAAGCCCCAAAGATGGTCTTTCTTGAGGGAAAAAGATGGTGAGAAGGGGAAGCATGTTGGGGAGTTCAACTGAGGGAAACTGCCCCCTTTTTCACCATTTTGGGGGGATTGAGGAGTCCCAAGGTGGATATGTCAGTCCTGCAATTGTTTGCAGCACTAAAACACTCATGGTAAGGAAACAACTCACCTGCAGCTCAATGTCACATCCTATAGTGCCTTCTCTGGGCTTCTCTAGAGCAGCTGGTGTTTTCTTCTTGCTGAAGGGCTTGTACTCTGTTGAGGTGAGCAAGGCTGGGGGAAAACTCCTTATGCTGTTTGTGTGGAAGAAACTCCTGATAGGTTGTACATGGACCTGAGAACAGCTTTATCTGCTTTAAAATGGGCATTTAGTGAACATTCCTGAACTTGGGGTGACTGATGTGCAGAGACTTCCACCTCTCAGGAGAATGCCAAAGACACTCCTTTGCCTAAGAGCCTGAGAGCTGCTGATAGACTGACTGGGGGGAATAAAAATCAAGTGTACTGGTGGCTGTCAATGAACTGTTGCACCTTTAGCCTGAGGGATGGGACTTTCCAAGCTGATTCAGGGCTGCTTTTCCCCACAAAGTCCCTCACTTGGGCACCTTGCAGGCAAGACCAGAAAAATGGGCATTGAGTGAACATTCCTGATCTTGGGGTGACTGATGTGCAGGGACTTCCACCTCTCAGGAGAATGCCAAAACTTGGGGTGACTGATGTGCAGAGACTTCCACCTCTCAGGAGAATGCCAAAGACACTCCTTTGCCTAAGAGCCTGAGAGCTGCTGATAGACTGACTGGGGGGAATAAAAATCAAGTGTACTGGTGGCTGTCAATGAACTGTTGCACCTTTAGCCTGAGGGATGGGACTTTCCAAGCTGATTCAGGGCTGCTTTTCCCCACAAAGTCCCTCACTTGGGCACCTTGCAGGCAAGACCAGCTGTTGTGAGCTGCCAGGCTCAGTTCTTCATCCTGCTTATGCTTATTTCCCTGCCCACTCATTCTTTCTCCTCCTGGCTAAATTACCCCTGGACTTCGAGAGAGCGATCTGAGACTTACAGCTTGTTCCTTCCCACTTCCCTGAACCTCCTTCCCGGTGATGCTGCTTCAGGAACCCTTGTGCCTTGTCTGAGAGGGACACCTAGTGGGGCTGGAGCTTGGGGACCTGGGGTTTTCCTCTATTTCTTGTGGTTCTATTTGTAATCCTTAGGAAGAGCTGTTTCTGTAGGAGCAGGAACTGAGGTTTCACATAGTCCTGCTAAAAAACTGCTGAATTGGTGGCCTGGAGGCAAGGTGAACCTTTGGTGACCAGTTTGTGGGATGTTTCTCTCTTGCCTGGGACTTGGTTCCACTGACAGTCTCCAGAGGTAGTTCCTGTCCAACAAGGATTTGTTTTCTATCCTGTCTTGGGCCCTTGGGAGACTAGCTGGTCATCACCTGGTGCTGAAGGAGTTTCCCTTCAAGGGGGAGCAGTGGAGAGCACCACACCTATGCTGTGGCTGTATGATGGCCAAAGGGATGTTTGGGATGGATCTAGGCCCCCAACAGCTCCTGCATGTGTCCCAGCTGCCCCCAGGCAGGGAGAACCTTTGCCTTAATGCCTCAGTGCAGGGCCAGGCCCCACACTGAAGCTGCCAGTGAAGATCCATTTGGCAGCTGCAGTGTAGAACTGAACACCTGGGGTGGAAACCACATGCAGAATGAGCAGGGTGAAGTGCAGGCACCAGCAATTTGTACCTCTGCCCTGCTTTGTGACTGCTATAGCCAGGACATGCTTACTTGTACCTCTGCCCTGCTATGTGTGACTGCTATAGCCAGGACATGCTTAATTAGATAAAGATGTATCTGCTCAGTGACATGTCTCAAATTTCATATGGAGATGGTCAAATTCAGTTTACATTTGCTTTCTCTCTGCATTTCATAGCTTACTGCTCATCCACACTGGCAAGGTGGTTTCCAAAACTGAACAGACAGGAGAACATGATGCTGTGGCTTTTTGGCATGCTGAAACTGTAGGAAAATGACACTGCCTAACCTGGAGGAACAGAAAAGGGAACTCAAATGTAGAGCACCCCAGAATTTGGTAAAGATTTTTAGGGATTACAAAAGGAATATCCCAAATACATAGTTGGAACCATGAGGAAATGTGTGCTATTTATTTCTTCTGTATGCTTGGTGGAAATACCTTCCTTACTCACAGCACTCAAGCAGCACCCAGGGGTGGCACCAGCTCAGCATGCCTCAATTATAACTTCATTAAACACCTTATTTTGTGAAAAAATGTTTTCTTCTTGATACTGGTGAGACCAGGCTTGAAGTGTAACCCCCAACCATGGGATTCCATTTCTGTTTCTCCTCAGTTTGGTCTCAGTAGCATGGACATAAGTAGTTTTGCTGAGTGCACTGGACAGACCTTACTGCTCTGGACTCAGAGTCCTCTCTTCTACCCTGGTGATACAACACAGATGAGTTCTTGGGTGAAAGTAAATTTTAAAGCTTTATTGGTCTAAATAAAAAAGTACAAAACGTTTTTACAGAAATGTTAAATCTGTGATTTAGCAGAACCAAGGGGACAGGCTCTTTGCATGCAGAACTCAGGTCAGGCACAGCTCTGCTGCCCTCACACACCAGGCTCTCCCCTCAGCTCTGGGAGGTGCCTAACTTGCTGCAGGGGCTAAGGTCTTCTGACACAGCCTGGCCAGCAGCCCAGCCATTTGTAGCAGGGAGTTCACACCTTCTGCTATCTTCATGTGAGTGTACCCAATCTCCTGGGGATAAAGACAGTGTAAAATTTTCTCTTTTCTTCCCAAGTCTATGCAGAGTTTGACTAGTGACTAAATAGGACATATCCCTTACTGCTAAGAGCAGCTCTGAGTCACTTGAACTTCAGAGTCATCGAAGTTCTCTTCAGAGAACTTGCCATGTAAACCAACTAGAATGAGTTTCTTTGGCCAGTGCTCTCAGGCACAGGGTGTGATTCTCAGGATGTCCTGTGCAGGGCCAAGAGTTGGACTTGATGATCCTCATGGGTCCCTTCCAACTCTGAATATTCTGTGATTCTTTTAAAATCAGAGCCTTTATTTCCCCACTTCCTTTGTAAGCAGCAAGGTGCACACACCTCAGGACAGGTTTCAAATATGAGGAGTGATTCCCTATCACCAGTTCACCATTTCTCAACTGTCTGTTAATATAACTGAAAATTTTACTCTCTATTGGACTAGAATCAAGTATGTGCTTGAAGAATGTTCTCAAGGTGTTATTCGAGGCTTTGATGTTAATAATAAATTCACTTCACATCTGCTATTAGTTCTAGTTGATCACTAAAGTGATTTCTGGCACTTCTGTGGGTGATTAGATGTTAAACTTCAAGTGACTATTCTTACACACTGGTGATGCACATTGGGCAAGAAAGCAGCATTAAGGGAAGAAAAAATTTCTTTGTGCTAACATACAGGAAATCTCAAGCAGAAACCCCTTGGGCTCCCCCCTGATCACTTCCTCTCCTTGAAAAGGCCCAAACAGCCCCAGCAGGAGTTGGGTTAGTACTAACCTTGATATATTCCAGTTTCAGGTATTCTGGCATTTGAAAGGTTTTACACACACGGAAGATGTTGCCAATCACATCTTCTGGAGAGTATCCAAGTCGCCACAGGTGAGCAAGAATCTGTGCAGGCAAAAAGAATCCCTTGTTTATCTGCAAAACTTACCAGGTAAGTCAAGGATATTCACTCTTGGAACTGCTGTATAGAACCACTGGAACTGTGTGTACTATTATCACATGATTTAACCTCAATTATTTAGCTAGTAATTTCAACACAACTTGCTTTTTTTTTTTTTGCTTGTCGGCTTATTTACCTGAACTAACTCCTGCACAAAAAAAGATTTAATTCATCAACTCCTCTACATGGTATTGCCTTTATGTTAAATAACAACATACATTTTGAGTTCTTCAAACCAGAGTTCTCTACGCCTGCGTGAGCTGCCACAGCACACGAAAACCAACCTTGTAGGCTTCATCAATATTTGCATTTATGCAGTGTTGTATCATTTCTTTCACAAGCAGAGGATGAGGCTCATCACAGACCTGTATCAAAGAGAAATACTACACTTAGAATCATGCAATCAACCAGGTTGGAAAAGACCTCCAAGATCATCAAGTCCAACCCTACAGTGGTCACTAGACCATGGCACTAAGTGCCACATCCAGTCTCAGCTTGAGAACCTCCAGGGATGGTGAATCCACCACCTCCCTGGGCAGCACATTCCAATGCCTGAGCACTCTCTCTGTAAAAAATCTCTTCCTAATATCCAACCTAAACCTCCCCTGGCAGAGCTTGAGTCTGTGCCCTGTTGTCCTGCTGCTGGTTGCCTGGGAGAAGAGACCAACCCCCACCTGACTCCAACCTCCTGTCAGGGAGTTGCAGAGGGTGATAAGGTCTCCCCTGAGCCTCCTCTTCTCCAGGCTGAACACCCCCAGCTCCCTCAGCCTCTCCTCATGGCACTTGTGCTCCAGTCCCTTCACCAGCCTTGTTGCTCTTCTCTGGACCTGCTCCAGCACCTCAGTATCCTTCCTGAATTGAGGGGCCCAGAACTGGGCCTAGTAAATATTAGAAGACTCTGCATTAAGTCTCTGGTATTTTCACCAAGCTTCTTTACAGCTGAAGTACTGAATCAGATACATTCTATAATACAGATTAAATTTTAAGTAATCTGACTTTTCAGTTATTCTGCCACGGCAGATGCAATAGCACGAAATAAGAATACCCAAGTAACAGATTCCCAAGTTATCACTGTGAAATTTTCCAGCAGTTATGGGATTTGCATGCTTTGAGAGAGCTACAAAGCCACAAAGTCTCATATATGCCATCAGGGACATCTTTTCAAAGGGCACATGGGCTTCTTGATGGCCTAGTGCTCTAACTTCTACACACACAGGGCTGTCTGCAAAGTGGCAAAACTCTTTCAAAGGCTTAAGTATCCAGTAGAAGACCTCACACAGCTGTAGGGCTAAACTTCTGACATTACTGTTTTCAGCTATTACTGACCTTGAAGACATTTTCACTGTTTATGAAGCCAAATCCAGAGTGTGTGGACTGTAAGTTGTTCAATGCCTGTGAAAGAAAAAATAAAGACTTCATTTATTTTCTGAACTGCTCCACTTCTCACTCCCCTCCTCAGCATGAAACCCACTTCAGAGAATAATGCCAAATAGGCAGTTTTCAATTAAGCAGCACAGTAAACCACAAATGTATGCAAACTTTGTTTCCTCCCACAAATTTGATAACCAACTCCCACCATCTCAACTTTTAGGAGCAGATGCATTTTAAACTCTCACAAAACCAAATAGTTTAGTTATTCCTGAGCCACAGGTCACATTCCCCTTTGCTTTGCCTCTCCAGAGGTAAGTCCTTGAGAGCCACAATTCAAGGCTTTTTTGTTTTAAACAGAAGCCTTTTTTTTCATTGCCTTTCTCCCTTTACCTGTCTCATATCTCCTTGGGCTGTGAAGATAATGGCTTCTAGTCCATCATCTGTATATGGTACATCTTCCTTCTCAACAACTTTCAGTAGCCTGGCAAGGATTTGTGCATCTGTGAGCTTGGTGTAACGCAGCACTGCGCACCGGGACTGGATAGGCTCTGGGGACAGACATGTGGCATCAGCATTTCCCTCTCTTCTCCAAAAAACCCAACCAAACATTTGTGTTCATCTCAGACGAAGCTCTCTCAGTTCCAACAATTCATTTGCTTCTTTTAGAACAGAAAGAACATCAGCTCCAAGCAGAACACAACATCTCCTTGAGCATGTACCATTGTTACAGTCCTTCCCTCGAGCCCAATGTGCTACTTGAGTTTTCCCAGATATGTATATACAAAGCTCAGGATTTCTGAGCATAGATGTTTATCATGCTATTTCAACAAGTCTAGAGGTCTACAATGTGTTCACCTATAGGCAAACTTAAAGATTGTGTTTCAGAAAGGACAACAAAAGGGTTCAATGCCCAGTAAACAATACATCAAACATCTTCACCTGTAGCACAGTTGGATGGAGATTAAGCCCAAAGTAGGAGAAATCTGCTGCTGCAGTCATGTATGGCACTATCTATTAAAACCAGCTGCTCAGAAGCTTCCCTGGCTACACAAATTCACTCTTTATCAGCTAATGTACAGGTGGTTTGATTTTTCAGTAGCACTATGGTTTCTTGCAACAAACAGGTCCAAGGTATTTTTGGAAACTGCCTTGGAGTTTAGCCAACAGTATGGAGAACATATGACAAAACCACCCAGGGCCCAGCAGCACTCACCTATGATTTTGTCTGAGGCATTGCAGGCCAGTGCAAATCGTGTGGTTTTGGAATAAATCTCCATTGTTCTTCTCAAGGCTTGCTGTGCTCCATCTGTCATGCTGAGGGGAGAAAGGGAGTTAGGATGGATTTTGCCCTTCACTGACTCACAGGTGCAGACTAGTTAACTATTTTTATACAAGCTTTAGAGTTCACTGATATTAAACTATGCTTTGTAAATTAATTGATATTCTGGGCTGATAAACCAAGAAGTTTTTTCTAGTCATGTGAACACACTACCTCACAGTGCAGGTAGTCACTGAGATCTCTGTAACACTGACATGCAAAATCAAATCATTAATGCTCTGAAGAGCACTGCTAACAACACTACAGCTAATATGTAAGTGGAGAATGTCCTATTTCACAGAATCATTAAGGTTGGAAAGCACCTCCAAGATTAAAAGTCCAACCTGTGACCCATCACCAGCTTGTCAACTAGACCAGAGCACCAAGTGCCACATCCAGTCATTTCCTGAACACCTCCAGGCACGGCGACTCCACCACCTTCCTGGACAGCCCCTTCCAATGTCTGATAGCACTTTCTGTGAGGAAATTCTTCCTGATATCCATCCAGTGAAACTGCTCACATGACCCAGACTCTTTTCAAACAGAAAGAATCATAAAATCCCAGAATGGTTTAGGTTGGAAGGACCTTAAAGCTCATCTTGTTCCACCCTCTGCCATGGGCAGGGCCAACTTTCACTAGATCAGGCTGCTCAGAGCCACATCCAGCCTGGTCCTGAACACGATCAGGGATGAGGCATCTTTCTGGTAAATTGGAAGATGCTGTTTCATATCCAGCTAAATCACAAAGTGTTTCACCCCAGTATTCATCACCTCCCCTGAAGCAATGATCTCTGTTTGCTATGATCCCTCTCCTAAGATCACTGTTCAATGCATGTTCATTTCCTAACAAACAATTTTAATAGCCTGAAACACTCAATACTGTCCAAAATTGCAGCTCTGCACACAGGACAGATAACACATTCACATAGTCAAGAGAAAACAATATACCTGTCTGCTTCATCCAGGATGATTATTTTGTGTCGACCCTTTGGCAGTGTGACCTTCTGCTGGGCAAACATTTTGATTTTGTTTCTCACAACATCAATGCCCCTGAAACAATAATTCAAGAGGTTCATGATAGAGGTTCATGATCAGTTGGGTGAAATTAAAGAACAGATTTTCTTCAGCAGCTGAAGCACTTCTGATTCTCCTACTGTTTGTTCCTGCCCATTCAGCTGTGCCAGAACAACTGCTGTGGAACCATGCTGCAAGCCAGACTGTCCAACTGATTCAGACTGAAACACCAACAACCCTCAGTTTTGGAGGTTTTGGAGCAAATAATTTAACAGTAGCAATACATACATAATCATTAACCTTACTTGCAGTACTGCCACAAAATGACTTACATTTGGCATGAGGTAGGGGGAATAAATGAGCAAGGGCAGAAGCATTGAGACTGCTTTGCTAGTTCTTCCCACAGCTCCATCCACAGCCCCAGCTGCAGCTCACAGGTTTAAGAAAAACAGCCGGAGAGACTGAATCATATTAGCACAATGTGGACACTTCCCCAGGCAGAGTCCCTTAATTTTAAAACACTTCATTTTAAAAAGAAAGGATTAACATGTTTGTTCTGTTTAGAAAAAGAATGTTGTGATTCTATAGCTCTTCCATAACTGATATCAACAAAGGTAGGTAAAATGTATTGTATTCATAAAAAACCCTCCAGGAAATGTCCTCAGAATACTTCAGGGTCTGAACAGAACTTGGGAAATACAATCAGCCCTTAGTGTCTGATCCTTGGAGCAGAGTCAGTGTCCTCTACATAGCTATACCCTTAGCCTACACTGCAACTCTCAACTGCCCTTACAGCCCTAATTTCTCTCAATTTATACACCAAAGAGTTTCAGTATAAACAACCTATTCATTTCTCATTCTTAGGAAGATACTCACAAATGCAGGAGGAAATTTAACTCTTTCAAGTACATTCAAGCACACAGTACCATTATGGATTCTGCACTCCACTTGTGTATATTTTTGAGTATGAAAGGATCTATGAAGTTCATTAAACACCAGGAAATAGTATCTCTGTTGATAGGTGGACACCAAAGACTGCCTACATTTTAGCTGGCAAAACTGCACTAAAATAAGTCCTAGAGGCCTTACTATAAGACACCAAAGACTGCCTACATTTTAGTTGGCAAAACTGCATTAAAATAAGTCCTAGAGGCCTTACTATAGCATTAAGCCTACCAAGCTGGCTTGGGTTTCAAAATAAAAATGGATATTTGCTTCTTTATTAAAAGTTTGATAAGGTTTATTCATTCTCACCTGTCATTTGAGGCATTCAGCTCCAAAACAGCATCCTTTAATGCAGGACCAAGCAGAGCACGAGCCAAGCAGAGGATACTGGTGGTTTTCCCTGTTCCTGGGGGCCCCTAGAAATGCAACAATGCAGCAATTGCCATCAGTTTAATGTTATTTTATCAGCTGTGCTCTTTGCAGTCTCCCCAGCCATTACAAAAGGCTGCAACAGAGGAACTGCAGAGAGAGCATCAGCCTGGAGGCTGCCTGAGCTCAAGATCCTGCCCCCAACAGGGAGATGATGCAAAGAGAAAGAAGCACAAGTGCTTCAGCAGGCACCTGTGGCCAATATAGATTTAAACTTGTCTACTTGTGTATTCTGCAAGAACATCACTCCATGGCCACATAATCAACATCTCTCACCAGTACATTCACACACAAGGCACTGGGATTCTATCCTGGCTAGATTTCACATCCAGGACCAACACAGAGACATACAGGACAGCAATACTCACAGCAATTATAATATTTGGGACATTCCCCTCTTTTGCAAAGACCTAAGAAAGAATAAGAAATGATATTAAAAAAATAATAGGAACAAATAGTTTCCAATTCTGTTCTGTTTTTCTCCCCCTGCTTTCATTTTTTTTTTGAACATTGAACCTTTCAGGGTTTTTCTGTAATATGAACCATTAGAAATCAGCCCCTAGAATAACATGGGAAAATGTAAAAGCACTTGATCCCACAGTTCTTTAGCACTCTTGCCTTTCCTTTGCATCTGCTTTAATTATATTAAACTTTCTGCTAACAAATAATGTGTTCACAGACTAATTTGTCATAAAATCCCAGAATGGCTTGGGTTGGAAAGGACCTCAAAGCTCATCTCATTCCCCCCCCTGCCATGGGCAGGGACACCTCCCACCAGGACTTTACTCTCCATGGCCTTTGGGACACAGCAGAGCCACTTGATCCCATGGGGACCACGGACTGGTATGACTTCCCTCCCAGTGGTACTTTCTGTTGTTATACAAATTATTCATTGAAACAATATTATGATAACAGCCACAAATTCTCTAAGCTGCATCAAAACATCCTAATTTAAACAGCCTAGTTGAAGAAAGTTTATTTCCTTACACACCACTCAAATATGTCCTAAAACATGTAAATTTTTAAGTAAATCAGAAAGGTTTTTCCTATATACTGAAATATGGAGGTAAAAATACAAAAGTACTTTTGCTGATTGGTGCAGAAATAAGGTGGTTTTTTGAGATAACCCCTAAAAAGACACAGGGATAGCTACACACCTCCAACCTGCTCACGGTGTCTTCATTTCCAACTATTTCACAAAGTTTCATGGGTCTGTATTTTTCCACCCTGTAAAAGCAAAACCCCCACACTTCAGCACATCTGGTAGAACTTTAGTAGTGCTTTACACTGACAGAAAAAGAGGATTATATTAAGACAGCACAGGACAATGATGACTTGATGTGTCAGTGTGAATGCTGCAGGGTCCATGACACTGCCAAGCACAGCATCACACCACACTAATCATAGACTCATAGAATTCCAGAATGGTTTGGGTTGGAAAGGACCTTAAAGAACACCTCATTGCACCCTCTGCATGAGCAGGGACACCTTCCACTGGCCGGGCAACCTGTGCCAGTGCCTCAGCACCCTGAAAGAGTTTACTTTCATTAGTATAAAAAGGAAAAAAGAGGGAAACATGCTCTATTCAGGCAGGAGGTTGGTGCCTCAGCCTGACACGTGGCTGAGGGGATAAGCCACCCTGTATGCTCCCCGTGGCTAACACAGGGCAGGGATAACTTTGGGCTGCACAGGGATTTCCTCCCTCCCTCCCTCTCTCCCTTCCTTCCACCCCCATGTCCTGCACCTTCGTGGGCACGGTGGAAGGCTCTAAACAAAGACAGACTCCCCAAGCTAAGAGTTGGGGTTGTTCAGCCTGGAGAAGAGAAGGTTGTGTGGAGACCTCAGAGCAACCTGCCAGGAGCTGAAGGGGCTCCAGGGAAGCTGCAGAGGGACTCTGGGTTAGGAACTGCAGGGACTGGGCAAGGAGGAATGGGGAGAAATGGAAAGAGGGAAATGTAGATGAGATATTAGGCAGAAGATTTCCCTGTGAGGGTGGTGAGACACTGGCACAGGTTGCCCAGGGAGGCTGTGGCTGCCCCAGCCCTGGCAGTGTTCAC